CATCTCTAGTTTTGCCTAAGCGCTATTCGCCATGGATTGCCACTCAGCAAGTGCCCTTAAACAGAAGCAGTCACTCCCTGGAAATATTGCCATTTTGAATATATGTACAGGCCATATAGATATTGTCACATATAGAAAAGGCTGCATAGCTCGACAGGTCTGTGGGGGGCATCTATACTCAAATTGCCATGGGAAGCGGAAATTTGATGTTTGTATGTGGGTGGGTCTTTTCCTTGGCGTTTTGTCTGTGGCAGTTTGACACTTTCAGAAGAAAGCACGCTTCACTCCTGTTATTTTTGTTTGTTATTTTATTTATAATACAGGATGTCCCAAAAAATGTGGATCCTCGTCATACAAAAAGACCCTTAAGAAAAACTTCAGGAAGGCAATCGGTGCAAAGGGCAAGAGAGACCAAGTCAAAGCGGGTGTCTTAAGATGCGTCCTTTCTAATGGAGGGTTGGTGGACACTGCTTTTGTACAATGCCCAGCAGTGTTTCTTCATAAATTCTGTTTATTCTGCACACGAAAAAGAGTATATCCTAGCAAAAATCTGAATCGGCCGAAGACTGCAAAGTGTTTTGCCCAAGTTGGTGTACATGATTGTCGAAGCCAATGGTGGTTCATGCCCGAAGAGATCACAGCGATTTTCAACTGACAATAATTCTAATAAGGCCAGGGAAACTGCTCTCTTTATTATTTTATTATTATTTAAAGTTCTTTAAAAACGGTAGCCTTTCTGTATAAAAACTGATTTTCAAAGGGCCATTTGATCAGTTATTTACAAGTTTAAAATAATGTATTCATCCATACTAACACTATATGTTAGTTATTTAAGTTTATAGAAAGTATAAAAAGTATCCAAGCATACTAACACTACATTATAAGTAACGAAAACTATTTACAAAATGACTGAAGGTCATCACACAGATCAACAAAACAATTACCTCAAAGCGTGTTTCACAAGTTTTTAAAGTAAACAAACATTGCATGCAGTCCAATCCAAAGTCCACTCCAAATGTGAAAAATGAATGACGTTGGCACATTTGAGCCTTTCTCATGGCCGATTTTTCCGCCATTTTGGTGGTACTGCCTGTCCCACGTTTCAGAGTCTCCGCACCATGAAATACAACATTTTAGTATTGTAGTTGTTTGTATAATGGTAAATTTACAGTTACAACTTTTAAAAGTCACTTTTCACGTTGTTTGAATTGTCTAGAATCTTTCACGAGGGCATTCAGTACCCCAAAATTGGTGGATTTTTGCCGTCGCAAGAAAGGCTAATTAATTTGCACTCTGCAAAATCCAAATGTTTATATAATTAATTTAACAATATTTACTGATCTAAATATTCGTCAAGTTTTTGTTTTTAAATAAATTCCAGAATGAGTCGACCAAAATGCCAAAACGTTCTGCAGAGTGTTGAGCGACGTTTTTTTAATTATTATGATTTATTGATTTAAACAATTTCAGTTTTCAAGTAATTGATTATATTTTAAGTTTATAAAGTACAAAAGCGTGCGGTTTGCATGTAGGACAAAACATTTTTTTAAAAAAACAACATTTTTTTAATTTAGTTTATACAAAACAACTGTTAAGTATTAAACAGCTGTTGCTTTAAAACATTAAGGTTTTTCTTTATAAACTATAAAGTATGAAAACAAAAGACATCTTCAAAAAGATCCGTCCCAAAAAATTTTTGACTCCGCAATATTGATTCAGCGAAACATCTGCCATGTACCAGTATTTAATAATTGTTTTAAAACTTTTCTGTGCGATTCGCATGTGGGACATCATGATTAAAGTGGAAGTCATGTCTGTTCTGCACATCGGTTCTGCGCATAACAATGTGAGGACCTCTGATGTAAACAATACCCAAATTTTGTGATGTTTCGACATCTTCTAAGTTGAAACTCTAATAAATATTCACTTAAAAGCACAGTGGACTAGAACGATGTTAGACATTAACTAAAGTACATAATATTTTATAAATATAGCATATTTAAAATGCAAACAAACAGCAACCGCTCGTTTGTTTATATTACGGACTTGACTTCCACTTTAAATATTTTTTGAAATAGGCATGCATAATTGTTTTAAGTTTTGATTTTATCCACGGATTTAGCATTGGTATTTGTTGCTTTGGTTGTTTTGTTTGTCAGTGGCATATTATTGTTGTTTTGTTTGACAGTGGCCTCCACTTTGATTTGTTTGGGGTTTCACCACAGAATTTATTGAGCAAAATTCAGCTTGTATCTTTGCCGATCTTAGTCAACTGAAGTACGGACTATAGAGACTGTCTTTTCTTTCAAGACTACGATGTATCAATAGTAAGTGAAAACTCTTAATTCTCCTCATCTTTAATGCTGCAAGTATTCTTTCTTGCAAGTACTCAGTTTTCCTATTGGATTTCTTGTCTTGTAAGTTTTAATAATTTGTGTAATAACTGTATTTCAATTTAGTCTCTGAAGATGTTGTAGGTTTAATGCGGGTTTAAAATTTTATGCTGGGCTTTAATTTTTAAGAGTCTATTTGCTGGGTCAAAAGTGATTGTGATGAGTTAGCTGGTTTCAAATTGATATTTGAAGATAAATATCCCGCTCGACCTCACAGGATAAATTATATGTATGCATAATAACAGTATAGCCTAGTTCTCATTCATCGCAAACTGTCACCGACGATCGGCGACGCTTATCCCCGATGCTCACCGATCGCGAATGCATGAAAGTTCTCATACATCTGTGATCGTCACAGATGACAGCCAATGTGTTTTGAAATTTCCCACCAAGGCACAAAATGGCCCCGTTCAACGTAAAGTTCATGATTTCTGTCAAACTTCAGTTGATTATTTCCTTGCTTGTTGAGGAAAAAACAACTTTTACTCATTTCTCATAGATTTTTCAAGCAGGTGGCAGTCGGTGATGATTGGCGATGGTCGCAAGAAACAAACTTTTTTGTTTCCTGCGATGTCATTGCCGATGGTCGGTGATGATCACGGACAATCGGCGATATAATTTTTTATGTGTTCTCATAAATCGTGAGCAGTCGCCGACGTTGCAAACCTCCCATCGCCAAGGTTTGCGATGAGTGAGAACTAGGCTTAAGGAGTTACCGGGTCAAATACCCGCAACGTTTTTGATCAATTTGGTCTTCTAAAAAAGCCACATTGGAAATAAATTCAATTCAATTTATTCATATAATATAGTATACGTACATACATTAATAAGACAAGCCGCTAATAGCTACACAGCTAGTCGAGGCGGACTTGTCTATAGTGACACACAAAAAGTAAATAAATATTAATTTACAAAGCCATTGATTATATAGCAAATTATATATACATAATATGAAATAATTTTCAATATAATTACATATTAATAAACTTAACGTTTTTAGAGAGGAAAAAAAAATAATAATAATATGCTGTATATCAAGAACAGGGAAAAAAGTAGGAGTTAACGCTTCAATTTGAGGCTTCATTGCGTGATCTTTTCTTAATTTTACAGCTGAGCGACTCTATGTCCGTATAAGTGTTTTCATTCTGTAAAATGTCCAAAAGGATACTATGTATCCTTTTCTTAAATGCTCTTTTTGGCAATTCTCTTATGCAAGATGGTACCTCATTCCACCATTTTACTCCAACATGAGAAAAAGACTTGTTGAATTTCTAGTTTCGATTGTTTAATGTAAAAATTATTTGACTTTGAAGAACGAGTATTATGAGAATGAATATCTGACGTTTTCTGGAAAAGATTGAGAATATTGTCTGGTGCAACTCTATTTTTAACATCATGCATCAATGTAAGTACATTTTCATAGAATAAGATATTTACTGGTAAAATATTTGTAGCAAAAAAAGGTATTGTGTGTTCTCGTTTATCTGAAAAATGGATGAAGTGAAGAACACGTTTTTGCAAAACTAAAATATTACTCCAATTTGACTTGCTTGTCTGACCCCAGATAACAAGACAATAGGAGAGATATGGACCTATTAGCGATTTATAAATATTAAGTAAAGTATGTTTAGATACAAAGTGCCTTAATTTTGAAATCATGCCTACAGTTTTACTTATTTTACTTAATTTAAAACATGTTCTACATGATATTTCCATGAGAGATTCTTGTCATTAAAACCCCTAGATATTTAATATAATCTTCACAATTAAGCTCTGTGTATCCATTCAATTCGTTATTATACATTTTGATAATAGGCTGATATACTAATTTCTTTTGATATGGATGAAAAATAACAAAATTAGACTTTTTAAAATTAAGACTAAGTTTATTTGAACTAAGCCAGTCATATCAATGGCAAAGTTCTTCATTAACAATTTTTTCAAGAGATTTAAGGTCTTTTTCGGAATAGAGTAGATTTGTTTGTGTGATGTTACTCTGAGAGTAGATTTGTATCATCAGCAAATAGATAAAATTTAAATTTCTTAGAGCAATTTTCAATATCATTAATATAAAGCAAGAAAAGTAATGGACCCAAAACCAGGCACGCCACACATTATTGTAGCCTTTTTGGATATGTGATTACCAATTTGTGTAGTTTGCATTCTACCATTTAAATATGAACTAAACCAATAATTAATTATTCCTCTAAATCCGTAATAACATAATTTTTGTAAAAGAATTTCATGATCAACGGTATCAAAAGCTTTTTTAAATCAATAAATACTCCGCACGAAAATAATTTCTTAGCCATATTTGACTGAATGGTATTAACAATATCAAGAATTGCATGTTCAGTTGAATGCAATTCTCGAAAACCATACTGACAAGAAGAAAGGATAACATGTTTTTGAATAAAGCTTTTACATCATCTTTTCAAATAATCCTTTTACATCATCTTTTCAAAAAGTCTATTAAAATTAGATAATAGCGATATCGGCCGGTAATTATTAGCATCAGTCCTGTCATCATTTTTAAATATTGGAATGATTTTTGACATTTTGATTTTGGATGTATATACTCCTAACTCAATTGATAAATTAAATAATCTACACAATACGTAACTAATAATATCGCTGGCACATTTCAATATCTGAGAGGGACAAGAATATAAACCATGTGCTTTGTTGATTGGAAGTGCTAAAATCTCAAGTTTCACTTCAACAGGAGTAATTAGATTAAAACAAAACGAATCTCGCGGAGATTTAGATTTTATAAGAAAGTCGGAATAGTGCTTTCGCGGGTCTAGTAACTGGTTAGCCAATTTATGTCCAACTGATGCAAAATGATTATTTAATATATCTGGGATATGGGTTACGTTTCTTATAAATCTATTACCATTATTATGGGCTTTGATAGCTTGAATGCAGGATGATTTCTGAGTTTTACGATTCATAATATTATTAATTCCTTCCCATGTTTTTTTCATATTCGTCAAATGTTTGTTAAAATATTCACAATAATAGTTAGCTTTACTTAATCGTATTAATCTTTGTATTCGATTTCTGTATATTTTATACTCAGACAGTTTTCCTTCAGCATATAGTTGATTTTTGTGTTTAATAGTTGTTCTTATTCCTTTCGTAATCCAAGGTTTCGAGAGCCGTTTAGCTTGACGACGCGATATCAGTTTGATTGGTGAGTGTTTATTCAGTATCACATTAATTCTTTAATAAATAAAGCAAAATGTTTTATCAATATCCCTATCCCCTTTTAGGAATATTTCATCCCAATCTGTGAGAGACAATTCATTGTTCAAAATTAACAGCAGAAAATTGTGAAAAATCACGTCGTTGTTGCTTTATTGGTATTTCTATTTTATCCTTAGTTGATTTAAAAATACAGAATTGAGAGAAATGATCAGTTATATCAGAAATTATATTCCCACTAATTGTTACTTCCGACATATTTATGAAAATATTATCTATCAATTTTGCAGAATTATTATAAACCCGAGTAGGCTTATCAATGTAGGGAATGAGGTAACAACTTTGCAAAGATAAAAAGAAATCTCGGCTATAACAAGAGCTTTCAATTTTTAATAAATCCAGATTAAAATCTCCCATAATACATAACGATTTTCCTTTTTAAATAACGCTATTTTGATTTGCCGATCTTAGTCAACTGAGGTACGGACTATAGACTGTGTTTTCTTTCAAGACTACGATGTATCAATAGTAGGTGAAAACTCTTAAGGTTCCCACCCACCAGACGTGAGTCGGCAACACGGCGCAATTTTCTGGTTTTCAAACGTACTGTGCAAAGGACTGTGAAATCCTTATTGAAGGCTCAATTGAAGGAAGTGACCGTAATTGCAAATTTTGTGCCAAGAAAGTATGCTACCAAGAAACAGCAAAGAAAAGGCAACAAGCAAGACAAATGGTACCTGCGAAACCAAAAACAGCACCTGTAAGTTCGACCTCTTCCCAACGCATTAAATCGACGCTTCAAGCTCAAAGGATTCAATGTAAGCAACTTCAATCTGAGATAAAACAAATGAAGCTTGAAGTTGAACATAAGAGTGTAGCAGTCACCCAGGGATCTTAGTCATGCTTTACTTAGCATTATCTCAGAAAGCAGTGACAAAATGACACCATTCATCAAGTTGTTCTGGGAGCAACAAAAAAAAATGTACCACGTTCAGCCCAGGGCAGAAGGTATCACCCTACTATTATTCGCTGGTGTATTTCCATAGCAGCAAAATCAGCATCGGCATATGATGAACTAAGAGATACATTCAAAGATAATATTGTCCTGCCAAGTAAAAGGGTCCTCAGAGATTATAGCAATGCTATAACCCCCAAGACTGGATTTAATCCAGGGGTGATTAAAGAGATAAAGGAGGCAACAAAACACTATTCCAGTAGCCAAAGATATGTTGCCATTCTTTTTGATGAAATGAAGGTGCAAGGAAATTTGGTGTGTGATAAACATTCTGGAAAGCTGATTGGCTATGTTAATCTAGGTGACCCAGATATTAATTTTGCTACTCTGGAAAATATTGATGAGATTGCAACTCAAGCCCTTCTGTTTATGGTTAGAGGAATTACCACAACCCTGAAGCATATGCTTGGGTATTTCGCTACAGCTGCTGTGACCGCAGTTCAGATGTTCCCAATATTTCGGAGAGCTGTCAGTATCTTGGACATGAATTGTAATCTAGCAGTTGTTGCGGCAACTGCTGATGGAGCATCTCCAAACAGAAGATTCTTCCAAATGCATGCAGGGATTCAAGGGAACACTGAAAATGATGTTGTGTTCTGCACAAAGAATCTGTTCAATCCAGAAAGAAATATTTATTTTTTTAGTGATGTACCCCATCTCTTAAAAACTGCTAGAAATTGTCTATTTAACTCCGGATCGGGTGATAATTATAAATAGATTATAAATGTATACCATGTTTACTAAATTCACTCATAAATTCACACAATTTTGTAATTATTCCAAAACTGAGGAGAAACTGTCAGTGGGGTGGATCTCTGTTTGTTCTGTGTATTTGACAATTAGACCCCACTGGCATGTTGGTAGAATTGGTTTGAGGCTGGCTATGCATGTGAAGCCAATAGACCTTTCCCCTTATGAGTGAAATTTTGATCTAGATATGCCTGGACAAAAAAATTAGTAATCTCTCTAATAAGTAAAAAATCACAAAATTAGTAATATTCCAAAGTTTCGTTGCGAAATATTGTAAAATGCGGATAATATAGCCTTGCAAAGTTTGCCGTTTTTCATTCATTTTGTATTACAAACGGCAAGTTGTGAATCTGATGATCAAACTGATACTGTTTTAATGTCCGCAGCATGACAGAAGGTGAAAGATCAAGAAAACCATTCCTTCTTCCATATAAAGATGTTAATGATCCAAGATTTTCCTGGCTAATAGATGACTTCCTTGACTATCTGCAGGCATGGCACGATAGTGTAACCCAATGACATGGCAGTTATGATGCAGATGCACGAGCCTGCATGTTCATATCACACCAAACATATGAAGGCATGAAAAGATAAGCATATATTCGTTGATTGAACTTGTAAAGTTTTTACTCAATGCAGATGTTGTTTTTGTCTTGACAAACCGCTTTTGCCAGGATCCAGTCGAGCAATATTTTGGAAAACAGAGAGAAATTGGGAGGAGATCTGACAACCCAACAATTAAGAATTTTGGCTGCAATGATAGTGCCATCAGGATGCAGAGGTCGAATGTTCAGATACAGGGAAACACAAAGGGCACTAGTACTACTGAAAAACGGTGGCGTAGCATCGATAATCAAAAATTGCATCGGCGTAAAAAAACAAAAAATAATTAACAGTGCTGGAATTAAACAATGACAGTGTGTTTAACCATCAAGTCCATGCTTTAATAGCAACTTAAAGTACAATGTAGATTCAAAGTGACCCTACATTAATTCTTTATGGCTTTGCCACTCTATCACCAAAGTAAGAGTAAGCTTTTTGCTTAAGAAGTGAAGCACTTGAGTCTAGGCAAAATACTGTTTCATATTTTATTGCTCGAAAATTAATGGTTGAATATACAAGTCATAATATATTTTGGCACTGTTAATCCCCGAGCCGGCAGCGCGAAGCGCCGTGCGAGGGTACTAATTCCCCCTGGCTATTTACACCCGGGGAAACGAAAGCATTAGCCAAGTCTAAAGTTCATCAAATATCGCGGGCGTGGGTCACCAACCGTGGGTGGTCATCCTCACTGATCTCAAAAATATGGCGGACTGTCATGGATAGCGAACACTGATTGGTCAAATTTAAAATTTGTTGTTGTATGACAAATGACGACTTCAACTGACAGATACTTCATGAAAATAATTTGCTTTTTGCACTACAGTATTTTGTACGTTTGCAAAAAACTTTGACAGCTTTCAAAGCAATTTGTTCTATAAAAAGTTTAATAAAACAATTATGGTATCAAATACCAATTGAAAAGATATGGACTACTGTATGGAGCTAAATGAAGAGCGGCAAGGAAACGACAAGAAAGCCGAACGTCTAGCGAAAAGGAGGGAGCTAGCGAAGACGACAACGTTTGCTCGAGGAGACTGCTGAGGAAAGAGAAGCTCACCTGGGAAAGCGTAGAGAAGCATGGAAAAAAAAGACTGCTGAAGCGAAAGGTAAGCAAAGGCTTGTCTTCACAATGCTATGTACCAATGATACTGTAGCTATACAAGTTGAAGTATGATATTCGACCTTCTATATTCGACTATTTCTTCACAAATTTCCAATAAAGAGTTTGTCATGACACGCTCAAGTCGGTATAACCAGACTGTATTTTATTTATATCAGTTATCACAGCCACAGGCAATTTTATGCTGTCAAATACCGTCGGTTGCAACTAAGGGTGAACAGTTGCAGATAAAAATTCTCTATTCTCATTAAAAAGCCTGTAAAAGTTTCCAGTAGGTCTCTAGCCCAACACGTTCAGACCACACAAAGTTTTGTTACTTATTATTGTACACATGGGAAACAACAATTAAGTGTTGTTGTTGTTGACAAACATTGAAGATTCTAATCACGCGAATGTTTTTATGAGCGACTGTTCATCGTTAGTTGCAAGCGACGGTACAACATACTATGAACATTTTTCCGATTGTGACCGAATGTGCAACGATATATTTTTCAAAGTTGTTATGAATTCCTAAAATTTGTTTATAGTAAAACCGCCTACTCAGCACTCACTACTCACGATGATTTCATTTAGAAATGCAGTTACCAGGAAAGGAACTGATTCTAAAATATGTAAATTTAAAAGCATTGGCTAACAGAATAAAGCGATGTGAAGACAAGGTACAAACTTTTATAGTTGCTATTTGTTATAAAATCCTATAAATAAACCGATTCAACAATCATTTTGCCTCGAATTTGCATATTCTATGCTGCATGTTTATATTTTATTTTATTTTTATAGTATAAAAATAAAATTGTAATACTATGAAATAAAATACATTTCTGTTTATTGACCAGTACTTATTTAATGTCTTCTTCATCCAGTGGTCAGAGTAAATTTCTACTTCTAGCAAGTAAATATTTGACAAGCAGTCTGGAATAAGCACAGGACTTTTAATGCATCAGCCAAATCCAAGTGTTCCATCCCCCTCGCCCAGCTATTTTCCTGTAAAGCACATCCCGGGGGTTGGGCATTTCCACTCGAACCTTAGCCCCGGCGGGGCATTTGAAATTAACAATTTGGATTCTTGCACTTCACTTGTGGAATTAATATTAGAATGTTAGGGTTTGTAATCCAAGTGAGAATATATACATGTATATATTTTGTAATCCAAGCGAGAATATTTTGTAATCCAAGTGAGAATATACAAATGTATAGTACATGTATATATTTTGTGTATATATTTTGTAATCCAAGTGAGAATATACAAATGTATATATTCTCACTTGGATTACAAACCCTAACATTCCAATTTTAATTCCACCAAGTGAAGTGCAAGAATCCAAATTATTGAAGTCCACCTTATCACAACCCGCACACCCGATTACCAGGGGCGGATCCAGAGCCTCAATCTGACCGTAGCAATATCTATCGATCAGATTGCGTGGCCAAAGGCCACGCCCCTTCTAGGGGGGTCCGGGGGACTCCCTGACAGTTTTCAATTTTAAACCCCGGAAATGCCGTTTCCTGCGTTCTGAGCAACATATTCTGTTCTAAAATTTGGCCTTAACCAGGACAAACTTTAGACAAAAAGTAACAAACATACACACAATAACTAATAAATATTCAAACATACCATGTTCTCCAGTAAAAAATACAACATCACAGGACAATCACCTTACACTTACTAACATACAACCACAACTCCAGACTGTAGGGCAGGCATCCATGTCACATGCCAATTTCACACGCTGTTCCATGTTGTATTACAGATTCGGCTGTAGTTCAGGTATCAGTGTTCAAGTTTCTACACCAGAAATCATAAAGCGTCTTGACTTAGAAAAATCTTCGTCCGGTACATCGTACTCATTTTGGGTGTTTCAGTTACTCCGTAGGTCTTTTACGAGGTTGGGTTTCCGACCCAGTGACCAACCCTCCTCCTTTTTCATCCGGGCTTGGGACCGGCAATGGCGGAGTTAGGGAGCATCTTGCAAAGACGTAATTAGGCAAAATAGCGTCAGTCAGGAACATTGTTCACTGTAGATCATCTTGGAACAGCAGCACCAAGGAATTAGTTCAGTAAACGTTCACCGGTACGGTGCAGTAAATCATATTGAAACAGCAACATGAACAAAGGTAGGAAAATGTTCACCCTTATAAATTATCTTAAAACAGCAGCACAACGCCAGCTTACACAGCAGATAGAAAATGTTCATTGTAAGTAATTTTGAAACCACAGCACGAAGAGAGTTAAGTAAATGTTCACTGTAAATATCTTCAAACAGCAGCAAAAAAGGAAGTTAAGTAAATATTCACCGTAGATCATCTTAAAACAGCAGCATGAAGGAAGTTAAGTAAATGTTCACTGTAAATCATCTTGAAACAGTAGCACGAAGGAAGTTATGTAAATGTTCACTGTAAATCATCTTGAAACAGCAGCAAAAAGGAAGTTAAGTAAATGTTCACTGTAGATCATCTGGAAATAGTAGCACGAAGGAAGTTAAGTAAATGTTGACTGTAGATCATCTTGAAACAGCAGCACCAGGGCAGGAAAAAAGAATTTTCTTCCGGGGAGCACAACCTGGAGACAAATATTTCCTGCAGACCAACGGAGCATTTTTGTGCTAAATCTTCATCTGCATAAACATATAGTGTTCTAGCTGATCATGGTTTCAAATTCAAGGAATAATGTCTGTCAACCATATGTTGTTGCGCATATAGTGGGACATGATGGCGAAGGTTTCCTTCAAATTTTCAATAGCAAATCTTCATTCAAAGGAATTTCCTGCAGCTGTTTAACATTTACTGCGAGCAGTGCTTGCTTATTTTTTCCACCCATGAGCACCACGAAGGGAAGTTAAGTAAATGTTCAATGTAAATCATCTTGAAACAGCAGCATGAAGGAAGTTAAGTAAATGTTCACTGTAAATCATCTTGAAACAGCAGCAAATGTTCACTGTAAATCATCTTGAAATAGCAGCAAAAAGGAAGTTAGGAAAAATGTTTATCTGTAGATCATCTTGAAACAGCACCATGAAGGAAGTTAAGTAAACGGCACCACGAAGGAAGTTAAGTAAATGTTCATTGCAGATCATCTTGAAACAGTTGCACGAAGGAAGTTATGTAAATGTTCACTGTAAATCATCTTGAAACAGCAGCACGAAGAATCATCTTGAAATAGCAGCAAAAAGGAAGTTAAGTAAATGTTTATGTGTAGATCATCGTTGAATCTGCCGATATATTGTTTTTGTTTATCTCGGAATGTGTATAATCATAAATTTATAATTCAGAATAGTTTAAGCATCATTCGTCGTGGGTTTCTCTGGGCAAATTGGTCAATTATCTCTTCAGTATCCAGATAAATTTTGGATGGACATTTAACGATGGACATTTAACAAGGCTAGACCTTTCAATCTGGATTCAGACATAGTGCTGCGAAGATAAGTCTTCAATTGCCGTAAAACCGAGATGGACCTTTCGCAACTGCAAGTGGTAACCGGAATTGTTGCAAAAATTTGAAAAGCGGTGAATATATTGGGAAAACTTATTTTGTCGACAAACAGTAAAACATCGGCCAGTTTGGAAGGCAGAGGACCCTTTTCCATTTGGTAACGTTCAGCCCACATTTCCAATTCAGTGTCGAGAAAACGAGGTTGAGGCAAGTCGTCCTTGTACATGTCGAGGAACGTGGAAAATTTGGTTTTCCAGTCAGGGCAGATCAGAACATTTTTGGGTAAACCATAAACGGCATCCATAACGTCAAGATTAGTCTCCGAGAATCGTGTTTGGATTTCCGATTTTAGGTGATCCAAAAATGGCACACTAATTACTCTCCGGTAGTATTGTGACAGTGAATCAGCTGGTGTGTTAGGGCGGTGTTGTTGTCTTCCTGTCGTTCTTGGTTGATCTGGTACGGTTCCAACGCTCTCACCAATGGATTCTGCTTCTTCGTGCCACGAGTCGTGTCTTACATCCACGTCATTTCTCATATTCTCTAGGTGCACGTAAAAAACCGGAAACCTTTTCTCTAGGTGCTCCAGCGTCGATAGCCGATTCCTGAAGTTGAACTGTGAGCGGGCGAGTCACCTCAAGACATCTTGAGACCACAACTAATGCCACAATTAATGAAAAGGACACGGTGGCTAAAAGTAAAGGACCAGATTTTCGGACAGAATCTGCATTCCACTTGTCCCCAACGTTATCACGAATTATTTCTAAGCATCTAACAATTGCAGGAAAAACCTCGATAAAAACAGACAAACCATCAATTCTCGCCACCCATCTTGTTTTGCAAACATTGATCAGTCGTTTATGCTGCGCATTAGGAAGCATTTCTTCGATGGTCTTGACCAACAAATCAAAACGTTTTGGAGAAAAATTAAAGAATTCTGAGGCAACACGAACATGTTCCATCATATTCCTTATTAGCTGTTCTTTGCAGCAAGCGGCGACACAAAGGTTCAAACAGTGAGAGTTACAATGTACATACAGAGCCTTCTCGTTGGTTTCTTGTATTCTGGCTGCTACTCCAGATAATCACCCTGCCATGTTCCCAGCTCCGTCATAACCCTGGCCACGACAATCATCAATTGGCAAATTTAGGTCACGAACAAATTCTTTAATTGTAGTAGTAGCAAGAGCTTCACCCGACACACCCTTTTTGCATGGGACAAAACCAAGAAACTCTTCTCTTATTTGACACTGCTTGTCTACAAACCTGAGAACGATACTAAGCTGTTCTATGTTGCCACAATCTGACGCTTCGTCGCTTCGCGGATCTCATCAGTGATTTTCTTGGTTATTAAATCGCCACAGATATCAATGATTTCATTCTGAGTGGTTTTAGATTTGTAGGTCATGTTTTTCGAAGTGCTTTTGAAAAGTTCTTCAAGAGTCTTGCCAGCACATATTGCACCGTACTTTAGGATTTCTATGAAATTACCACAGTTAACCTCATCTGACAGATAGTTTGAAGAATCATCTCTATGTCCGCGCAAGGGAATATTTTGTCTGCCACAAAGAACAATTGTTCCGACGATGGGTCTCAGAAGTTTTCTGTTCTCCTCTATGAAGTTTTCTGTTCTCCAACATAACATCAATAGGTGCAGACTTTTGCTCCATGTGAGATCTGAATACCGCTGCACGCGCTGTGGCTGCTTTGTGGAGTGGTGACCTCTCGGAATGCTCCCGGAATTTAGTGGGTGCGACCTGCCATGTTGTGAACGGGGTTTTACAAAGCCTTTGCAATTTACTTGTATTGTGCGTTCCAGTACATTCTGAACCAAACAGCACGCAGTTTATGCAGAAAGCTCCATTCAACTTTTGCGAGTACGTCAGCCACGGAAACAACTTCATCCAGTCCAAGCGAAACCTCCTGCCGTTTACCAAAGGGAATGGAAAGTTTGTAGATGGTACCCAAACGTTACAAAGAACGTTGTACTTTTGCTCATCAGTTAAGGAATTAACGTTGACATAGTTTGCAATATCATTGGGAAAACACGATGTTTCGGATCTTGAATGTGGGTGTTCTGAAACCAATGAACTGCCTAGACGTTTTTTAGGGAAAGGGGTCGTCTGCGGAACATCTTCGTCTTCACTTTCCTCGGCAAACTTTCTTTTTTTAGGAAATAGCTTGTCAAGACTGGTCTGCTTTTTTTTAATTGGTTGCAATGAAGAAGAGCTTCTTGTCGGTACGGAGGCAGAGGAAGTCCCTACAGTACTAGACAACGGTGGCGCCGTTTGCTTGGTAGGCGGCATAATTTTCCTTACTTCTGTCGAACTAACATTAATACCTGGTGAAACTTGCTTCATTACAAAGTGTTGAACACCTACCATCTTACTGCTGCTATCTTTTGCTTCACAAAGAGCAACATAGTGATTTTTGGTTGCAGGAACTTTACCAAGCTTGGAATAATTCATAGGCATTAATGCACACCGAAGTATATGAATTTTCTGATCTGAAATTGATGCTGCTGTTTCTCATGGGTATATAGTGCAGTTAAACATTGTGGACAGTGAGTCAATTTTTTCTTCACTCGATGGAATTGGAAAGTAGGACTCGATTGGACGTTTAACCACACTTGACAAGGAAAGAAGACAAATAAATGAACTCCATTGATGATTCATTGCGTTGCTGTATGCTTCAGCGAATATTGGTGCGCAAAGATCTTCCTTTGTTACGGAATCCAGAGCGATATCAGACAAACACATTGCAAAGGCATTTGCAATGGAACTAAATGCGCCTTTGTTGTGCTGCTGCTCTATAAGGGGATGTTTAGCATAAAAGGAAGAATTTAAAAAAAGTTCAATGCTTGTCAGACAACGAAGGTATGATGCCAAGGATTTGTTGCCACACAGTGCAATGGAACAAGCATTGTACAAGCAATTGCCATCTCCAGTAGTTCTAAATATGGGAAATACATAAAACTATGTACCATGGGAAATACAGAAAACTACAGTACGTACCGTAACAGTATTTGTTATTCAGTAAAACCCCGCGTATACATAAGAACCTACATTTTCCAAGTTAGGCTGCCTAAACAGTAAGTAACAGAAAATTAGGCTAAACAGTTTCTTAAATAGCTTATTATTTTCTTTACAGAGAAGCGACTCATATTAAGGAGGTATGCTATATGATTTATATGAATTATGCACAAATGACCCAAAAATGACAGTATATGCACTAAACCAACTCTATATGCACTTTAAAGCTACACTGATTGTAACTTATGACTTCATGTTGACACTATTTGATAATACAAGAATCTATTTTGGAATCTAACCTGAACAGGTTCTTATTCAAAGGGGGTTTAAATAAAATATTTTAGCCTAACAGGTTCTTAAATTCGAATTCTAGGTTCTGATATGTGGGGTTTTACTGTACAAGATGCAAATTAACCCACTTTATCATTTTACTCTGTCCAATGCCAGATGATTTCACTTGTCAAGGGGAAAGTGCTGGCGCTTAAGGGTTAACTGGCCTATCTGAAAATATGTCTATTAACCCATTGAGTACGTAATACTTAATTATCATTTTACTCTGTCTAACGTCAGATGATTTTACTAATCAAAGGGAGAGTCCTGATGCTTAATGGGTTAACTGGCCAAAATGTCTATGTGTCTAGCTAACCCATTGAGTTGCATTGTGCCCTGATGCGCCCTACTTTATCATTTTATTCTGTCTAATGCCAGACATTTTACTCTTCTCACTTCAAGGGGAAAGTGCTGGCGCTTAATTGGTTAATAACTCTAATCAATATGTTTGTAGAAATTGTCCAAAGACAAAATTAAGGATATTTCTATAGTAAATATATTATCAATTAATCTTAATAATGTATATAGATCTATAGTAAATCCTGTATTTTAACCCATTAAGCGCCAGTGCTCTCCCCTTGTCGAGTAAAATCGTCTGGCGTTAGACAGAGTAAAATACTAAAGTATGGTGCATCAGGGTGCAATGCAACTCAATGGGTTAATTAATTTTCTAACATTGCATACTGTGCATTTCTATATTCATGTTATATTTTGCATGGTCCTCCTGAAAACAGCTTGTAGGTTCCCTGAGTAAATACTGTAATAGTAAGTCTTATGAGAATAATTACACATTCATAAAATGAATTAATGTCGGAAATTATATTTAGGTTAGCTGTTGTGTTATCGCGCGGGACATGCGAGAGTACACTCGCAAACTGTCGGACAGCTCTGGTTTATACTGATAAATGTTTAGGGACCGATCGTTTATTATTAGTCATGGGGTGTGGCTTGAGGGGTTAATTTCTAAATATATTTTGGGAATAGTTTTTGCTCAAAGGAAAGAGGTTTGAAATTGCAAACAATTCTTACATATTAAAATGACTTTATTTGGTTTATGAGATGAAATTCAAAACATATCTACCATTTTGAATTTGAAAAAAAGAAAAACAAATACAAACTAATCAAGCAAGATTGCGCCATTGTCAATCTCGTTCACCGAGCGTGCCCGTTCACAGGTTAAGGGTGGGCATAGCTCTGGAGAAATCGAATTGATTCAGGGCGCTGATTGGCTAGCGGTAGATAGCACGTTGGATTTCCAACGTGAGCTCTACGCATGCTTAGCAATTGTTGCAATTGTTTACCCTGAAATCGAATTGAAAATAAATAGAAATACTGGGGGAAATATGTACGAAAGCTTCGGATTGATAGGGAAACAAGTACCTGAAAAATACAAGGAGAACTTCGACGTTTCGAGCGGAAGGCGAAGCGACTTGTACTGTAATAGTTTTATTAGTTTGAATAAAATACTCGTATTTGACCTTTATACTGTCGTACCTAACACTACGTATACCATAAACTCTGGCAGGAGAGTTAAATGTAAATTTTAAAGCACATATATATTATACTCATTCTTGAGGAGATTATATTTATCAGTAAAGGTAAAGTACGATGTATACAAACACTAACAATACATGTCGAAGCCTTCGCACGAAATGTCGAAGTTCTCCTTGTATTTTTCAGGGATCAATCCGAAGCTTTCTCCCAGAATTTTTAGTTGTTTTCAATTCGATTTCAGTGTAAAAAGTATCAAATTTTCGACGAGAAATTCTAAATACTTTGTTTATATTTTGCAACAATTGCCGAGCATGCGTAGAACTCACGTTGGAAATCCAACGTGAATCAATTCGATTTCTCCAGAGCTATGCCCACTCTTAACCTGCGAACGGGCATGCTCGGGGAACGAGATTGCGCCATTGTGTGCAATTTTTGCATAGAGAAGACTGGAATCTAGTTCTTAGCATTCAACTCTTTATAGTTGAAAGTTTAGTTCAATGTTTGTTCAAATAGATTCATGTCTCGCTAATAGGGTTAGCGGTTAGGGTGGGGATTGGGGTTAGCATTATAAATAGCGAGACATGAATCTATAACCACCACTTAGTGACTCCGCTGAACGGAATGATTGCAGTCAATCGTTTACACCTGAAAAAAAACATGGCGGAAAAAGTTTAAAAAAAAGTATTTTTTATCTACATTTTATAATAATATATAAATATTATTGCATTTTTACTTTTACATGTTTATATCATTCATTAATATGATATTTTTGTATAACGTTTTCCTGTTTTGTATTGAATGCTAAAATACGCAATCTTGCTTTTATATATGATTCGATATTATATTGAATTAGCAATTTCGCGAGGCCTTGTAATTCGAATATTTGATGCACTGAGGTTTGATGCCTAGAAATGCCTAGTGCAATTGTGGGGGGGGGGGGTATATTTTAAAATTTTAATCTATATAGTTAAACAGGGGGGTCATTTTTTCATTTCCAAAAAATATAGGGGGGTGCGTATTTTATTGATAATGTTTTTAAAAAAAACACCGCCCCCCCCCCTGAGACGTAATAAACGATCGGTCCTTACATTATGGAGAATTCGGAAAAACACACAGCAAAGTGAGCATGGGATCTGTGATTAAAATGCATAAAAATACATAGCTTTTAATTACAGGAACCACTCAGTATTTTAAGAAAATACAAAATAACAGTAACTCCGAATAATATTTTGATTCTTAATCGACGTTTCGACTAGTTTGTAGTCATCCTCAGGATTAATAATAGTGTAAAATTACAGAAGCAGCTATTATAAAGCCAGAAAGGCGGAGCTTAAATGCCAGTTAATGAAATATGAGAAGTTCTTTGGAAGCTTTCGCACCGTGGTTGAGATCAGGTTTTCGTCTGCATATAGCAAGAGACTCCTTGAATAACAACAGAGACCAGTGGTCTGACCTATCAATTATTTTACAATTTCTAAATATTAGTTGAGTTAAATTAGTGTTTATAGTGTTAGTTGAGTCAGGTGAAAGTTCCATAAGGGATTTGATGTGTTGAAAATGTTCGCAGCAGTTGATGTGGGCGTTGATTTCTGAGTTTTCTCATGTGCTATGCTCTTTCAGACGGGTGTATAGACAGCGGTCTGTTTTACCAATGTAGCTGCTTCGACAACCCGGACATGAAAATTCGTAAACTACGAATGCTTTTGTATTCATCCCGTGTTTTGTCTCTACAGGACAGGAAACAATTGGAGTTCGTAGTATGCCAGTTTAAAATGAATTTACACAGACTCTTTAGTAAACGCCGAGTTTTGTTTATGAACTTTTTGGTCAAAATGTTGCCATATTTGCCAATAAATGGGAGTCTTATCCATATTTTGGGTAGATTGTCTGGTGTTGTGCGTTCTGTAAGGTCGACGTGTGGGATGTTATTGCTTCCTTCCGGCTTTGGTGTAAAGGCATTAATTAATTTCGTCCTTAAGTTGCGAGAGAAACCGTTCATTGGTAAAACAGACCGCTGTCTATACACCCGTCTGAAAGAGCATAGCACACAAGAAAACTCGGAAATCAACGCCCACATCAACTGCTGCAAACATTTTCAACACATCAAATCCCTTATGGAACTTTCACCTGACTCAACTAACACTATAAACACTAATTTAACTCAACTAATATTTAGAAATTGTAAAATAATTGATAGGTCAGACCACTGGTCTCTGTTGTTATTCAAGGAGTCTCTTGCTATACGCAGACGAAAACCTGATCTCAACCACGGTGCGAAAGCTTCCAAAGAACTTCTCATATTCATTTAAGCTCCGCCTTTCTGGCTTTATAATAGTTGCATCTGTAATTTTACACTGTTATTAATCCTGAGGATGACTACAAACTAGTCGAAACGTCGATTAAAAATCAAAATGTTATTCGGAGTTACTGTTATTTTACATAGCTTTTGTTAACTTTAATCTGTGTTAGGAACACAGGAGGCAACTTTCAACATTAAGCTTGTGCGACCAATCAATGGTGCCGTGAATCACTTGATTATAATCACTGCTATTACCTTTTATGCACCAATCAATATTTTGCAGTACCATGTGTAGGGTGGCAAATACAGAAACATATTA